GTATCATAGCCACATACAAAAAAAAAACACAACAGTGCACCAGCTGAGCATGTGTCAATAAAGTCTGGTGCAAAGCCAGCGAGGCCTATTGATTGCTTTAGATAAACAGGGGTTAGGCCGTGTCTCAGTGTTCTGGCCCAGTGCATTATTTGAATGAAAATCCTTGTAATTTAACTTTAACAGATACTCTCAAACCTGGACTTTAGATTAAAGTAGGATCCTTGTTGTTGTCACTAAATACAACCAGGACAGACCACAAGGCATCAGTGGGATTGGTTGAGATTGATATTTTGTTTCAAACAAATTAAAGATGAAGGCATCAAAGACAAACCAGTCAAAAAACCAGAACAGAGCAAACCGGGAGCATGGCTGCCTCTCCTATCCTTACTGCAGTAATCTGCTGGCGGCTGCACTGTGACACAGGGAACCTGTGTCAGCACTCTGGCAGGATCCTGGAAAAAAATAAAGTAAAATCAGACTCCTGTTTTTCTTCCTCTCCTTTTTTAGTGTGTGGCTGAAGCAGGGGGACAGCAAAACAGCCCCAAATGATGGAAACCACCATTAACAGAGGAGACAACTGGACACAAATACAAGCTACCATCAGGTGCCACAGCACTGGACGAGGATCCTTAACAAATGAGCCAGTGTCTCAATAATTGATGCCTGTGCTGGAGAAACAAAAAGGTGCAAGGAACAGTCAAGAGCCAAGTTTTGCTTTACTGTTTTTTTTCTAAACACTCATTCATGCCGCTGTATAATTAATCTAATCCAAAGCAGGGGGGCTGATGGAAAGCACAATAGGAGATGTTAGCAGCAAGCAGTGCACGGCGTGATCTCTACTGCAGCAGAGGGGCTGTGCAGTTTTTTCTTTTTTATTACATTACTGGGTTGAGAGACCGTGGCTGATTCCAGGACTGGGTCATGTGATCACCCCTCCCACCTCTTCCTACTTGTATGCAGATGAATAGCACATTATTCATGGCCTGTCATTGACTGAGTTAAGCAAAAAACGAAAACAGCAGGACAGTGAAGACAATGTAAATGAAACCAGGCCCAAAGAAAACGCACACATTTACATAATAACTTGCTCCAGACAGGTCTCACAACTTTTCATAAACTTTAAGAGAACAGCTTTGATAGGGTTGTGTGAAACCTCTAAATGGGATATATCTGAACAAATGAAAATAAACTGTCAACCGCACATTACTGGTTAGGTACTGACTAACTAGATTACAGCCACAGGTTATATACTGGAAGTGTCACGACGGTTCACTCTTGATACCGTATGAAGAGCTCTTTTGCCTATTTATGTCCATCCTGTTTTTCCACAGCTGCTGGGAAAAAAAGTTGAATCACCTGATTCCTTTTGAAAAAGAACAATATAAAGAATATGAAAACTGCTCAAGCATCAGTGTGGGTACAAAGGTCAAAGTATCATCTGCCATTACATAATTTTATGGCCCCAACCATTTTATACATCAGTTAAAATGATCTTGAACATAAAGCTGTGACCACAGTAAAAGCACATGATCATCTACAGGGGCTGACAAGGGCAGCTCTGGATGAATGACATATTAATCAGATATTCTATAGAGATTGAACATAGCCAGGAACATGGATGTTTTCTGCAATGTGGTTTTCCTCTTGCAAGCCTTGTCTGCACTTAAGACGTGTTGCAATGCCCCCTCTGTATTTGCTAATTACATGAAGCAATCTCTCTGGCCACCTTAACGTCGGGCACTGACTCTACTTCATTTTTCATGGCTCTGTCGTGAACCACCTGCTTAATATATTATATATATTATATATATATATATAACTAAAATATAATAAACCTGCAGCTTTTTGACAAGAGATGATAAATATAGATGTTGCACGAAATGGGTGAAATGTAAATCCTTTTGAGGATGCACGCGGGGTACCGATCTGTCAAGTAAATCCACCACGAGCAGTATTACCTGGATCTCAAGCGCTTAGCCAAATTCTGCTTGATTGCAGCGGGCCTACACGGTTTAACCGAGGCTAAAAACAAGCACGACAGCACCGCTTTTAGCGATGTCGACACTGCCGCTGCTCCTCCTAACTAGAACACCAGATAGCACAGACACGTATGTTAGCAGCGTTTGTTTGCCCGATGCTAAAAAAAGGGGCTGTGGCAGGCTAACTTTGGGGGTTAGCCACAAGCTAATAACTCACTCAGGTTCCTGTGGAGGAGCTAGCTAGCTGCTAGCATTAGCAGCGGGGTTCAATCAAGCAAACATGGAGAAGATGGCTTCAAGGCAGTGGCAGGTGGTAACGGCTGCATTTACCTGTAAACTCGCTAACGGGTGTTAGTCGTAGCCGTCCCGCAGGCCCCCACCCTCCTCTGAGTGCGGTTGGGTGCTTCTCAGTTTCTCCCACTCTGATGCTGAAGGTGCTCAGTTACGCCGTATTCCCCCCAACAGGGCTCAGGACGCTGCCATATTCCTCATACCAAAGAAGTGTGCTACTGCGCATGCGTGAGGCCCTGCCTGTCATGCGGCTGTCAGCTGATTGTTTTTTGTCGGAACGCGGAATTGTCGAGATGCCGACCCGAGATCGGATTTTCATCATTTTTCATCGGTGTTTGAAATTGATACAGACAGCCAAAACTGACCTCGGAACAGCTGATGCGGACGGTTATATAGTAGAATCTTTAGTTTCCATTTGGCAGTTTAAAAACTAGACAGATTACACCAAATAAACGTCCATACACATCAATAATTTATCACATTATTATAATGAACTTTCTTAGTAATCTCTGTGAATTGATCTGATGAAATGGAAACTGAATTGCACTATTTCTACCTCTGCATAGTTTGCTTCTTGATATCTTGAGGTTGTCAAAACAGTTAATTCAACCTCAATTATTATCATTATTATAAGCATGACTATTATTATGGCTAACATTATTGTTCATTTGTTCTTTATATTTTATCATTTTACTTTTGCAGGTTTCCAGGTATCAGTAGCTTGCTAAGTATCTATCTATCTATCTATCTATCTATCTATCTATCTATCTATCTATCTATCTATCTATCTATCTATCTATCTATCTAT